ACCCTCTGACCTTCACTCTTGTACCATAGTACACTCATATACACACTGTATAGCATGTGCACACCTATACTCAAACACAAGAATATTCACACACACACAATTTTTTAAAACATTTTATTTTATTTATTTTTTAATATTTATTTATTTATTATGTATACAATATTCTGTCTGTGTGCATGCCTGCAGGCCAGAAGAGGGCACCAGACCTCTTTACAGATGGTTGTGAGCCACCATGTGGTTGCTGGGAATTGAACTCAGGAACAAAATTAGTCAGTGCTCTTAACCTCTGAGCCATCTCTCCAGCCCAACACACACACAATTTTTAAGTTGCTAATGTCTCCAAATTTTTGTTTCAAATGCCCCCAGTCCATTTTTTCTTAATTCCTGGGATTAGGACTGAAAAGAAGTCAAAAGCTCCATGATATAAAGAACATGCTTTGTATCTGTTAATATCCTCAAAAAGTGTCACTGTGGGGGCTGGAGAAATGGTTCAGCAGTTAAGAGCACTGGCCACTCTCCAGAGGACCTGGGTTTAATTCTCAGCACCCACATGGCAACTCACAACTACAATTCTACAACTCCAATTCTAGGGGAATCCAAACTCTCTTCAGGTCTCTGGGAATACTATGCCCACACATGGTGCACATATAGGCGAAACGTCCACACACATGAAATACAACTAATCATAATAATGATGAATCTTTTTTTAAAGTTTCATGTAGCTGTGCATGGTGAGGCATACACATAATCCCAGCACCCAGAGACTACAGGGGTTCCGCAGCTGATGAATGTGAACATCAAGACTCTGTCCAAAGGGAAAACAACTAACCAAACTGAACAAAACAAGTGCCACTGGATCGGAAAAACTCCCACATCACCTCATCAACACCCAGAAAACCAAAATTGGTTTTGAATCTCTCTGTTAAGGGAGGTGGGTTAAGAAAAGAAATCTCCCTAGACTTATTCAGTTCTTTCTCTTCTGCTCTACAACCATCTGCAAACAGTCAGGGGGTTCACCTGTCTCTTCTTTCCCTTCCCTCTGCTTCTTCCTGTGACCTGGCTCCTGTTCTTACCACCTCTGGGGAACTGTCCTGTCAAGGACATCAGCAGGCACCATTGGGCAAGCCCCAATGACTACACTCAGCCACAGCTTGCATGGAGACTGCACTGGCATCTGGCAGTGTCTACCTCCCTCTCCTTCCTCTTCCCAAACACCGTCTCTCCCTCCTCAGTGACTCTTTTTTTGGCTCTTCCTCCTTATCCCTTCTCTAATGCACCTGCTTCCCATGGCTCAGTAGCAATCCACCTTCAACTGTATTCATTCATTTGTTCCACTGCCTCTCTCCCAAGTCAGGAACCTGGGAGTCATTCCTGACTTTTCCTTTCTCTCTTAGGATACCATCTCCACATTTTTATAATTCCACTTTTTAGATTCTTTGTACTTAAAATGTTTTATGGCAGATACTACTATTCCAGCAGGTACTATGTTTATCATTTCTCATTTATTATTACACTCCTGCCCTGATAAGCAGACCTTTCCAGTACAGTCCCCAGGGAGATATTTCTAAAATGTATTTCATGCTTAAAACCTTCCTCTAGCAGCATGATCTCAGACTGGATCCTAGATTGGAGGTAGGGGATGACCCGCTATGAGGATCACTATTAGGATATCTGACAGGTAACAGAATTAAACCAACAATAGTACATGGTAGTTAGATAAGAGAAGGTTCTTGCTCTTAGAAAACACAGGGGGAAAAAACAAAAAAGAAATTACAAATTAAACTAGTTAGGGGAGAGTTAGGCAATAATTTAAGGAAAAAACAACAACAGGCTCTTGGACACCAAGCATAATCAAGCAGAGAAAAATGTACAGTTGGCAAAGGCGAGTAAAGAGTACAAAAGAATTAGTTCAAGATCATTTGATAGAAACACTTGAAAGTTTTCCACGTTTCCTTCCATGTTTAAGGTAAATGTCTAAACTCCTTAAATAGACTCCACAATCCATTTGCAGTCATCAAATAATAACTAATGCCCACTATACTCTTAACATTCTTCACACACGACTACAAATTACTGTGCACGTTGTTTGGTTCTGATGTGGTCCCTCTACTTTCTACACTTGCCTCACTGGCAAGGCATCTTACCTGTTGTGATGGTAGTATAGCTGCTTCCCTCTTTCTGACCCCACTGGGGATCATGGACACATTTCTACCTCAGCCCCTGGCACCTCAGTGTACGTCTAGATACAAGCCTTCATGTGTGTGCACACTCCCCAACACACACATTTCTGGTTACTTTAGTATTTGTGTTTCAGTTCTACTGCTTTATAGACAACAAAATAATAAAAGAGTACAGACTTTAGATTCAGCCTGGAGAGTTCTGACCTATGACTCTACAACAATTACTTAGTTTTAAGTCTCTGGATCTGGACACTGCTGGTTTGTCAACTTGACACAAACTCCAGTTACCTGGGGAAGAGGAAACAGCAACTAAGGTATTGTCCCCATCAGATTGGCCTGTGGGAATATCTGTAGGGTATTTTAATTAAAGATTGATGTAGGAGGGCCCAGCCCACTGTGAGTACCCCTGGCAGGTAGTCCTAGGTTGAACAGGAAAGCAAATGAAGGGGCTGGAGAGATGTCTAAGCAGTTAAGAGTGCTGGCTGCTCTTCCAGAGGACCTGGGTTCAATTCCAAGCAACCACATGAAAGCTCACAATTGTAATTTAGTTCCTCTAGCCTCTGCAGGTACCAGGTACATATGCAGTGCACAGACATACATGCACACACACCAAAAAAAATTAAATAAAGGAAAAAAACAAACAACAAACAAGCAAATGAACAAAAGAGCAAATGGCGCAAGCCAGGAAGCACAGTCTCTTCTTCTGTTCCTGCCTCCAGATTCCTGTCGTGAGTTCCTGCCCAGACTTCCTTCAGTGATGGACTGTGACCTGGAAGCTCTAAAATGAAATAAAGCCTTCCCCCCAAGTTGGTTTTGATAGGTTTATATCACAGCAACAGAAAGTGAGCTAGGACACACACTGTATTTACTCGAAATAATACATCTATTACTGTTCTCATTTACCTCACCTCTGGGAAAGCCTACAGTGAAGACAGCTTGAGATTTAAAATATTTGCAAATTACATACTTTTAGAAATGTTTTTTTTAATCTCCCTAATGTCACTTCAATCAACTTCTTAAGGCATAGAAAAATCCATTTATTTTTCCACCAACTAGAGAAACCTCTTTTGTATCAATTTCTCAATGTTTAAAAATATTTAATGTTAATGCTATTTTATGGTGGTTTTACACCTAGTCCATTTGTCAACTTCAAAAAAGGAAGAAAAGCAAGAGACTATCAAAATAAGGCAAAAATGTACTAAAACAGAGAATTCGAATACCAGGTTATCAAATGTTCAGATTACTGAAAACAATGAACTACTTCAGACTGTTGATTTAAAAAAAAAATCCAAAAACAACCCATTAAAGAAACTTAATACACAAACTCTCACATGTGACCTATTTCCCTTTACTTATAACCCAAACTAGCAAAATTGCAAGGCAAGCTCTCCTTCTGGAGAGATAAGAGTATCTCACATAGGACAAAGGAAAAAAAAATTAAAGTCTATTGATGGAGGAAGGTCATTGGTTAATTAATAAAGATACTGCTTGGCCCTGATAGGTTAGAACATAGGTGGGTGGAGTAAACAGAACAGAATGCTGGGAAGAGGAAGTGAGGTAAGACGCCTCAGAAAGACGCCATGCCTCCCCTGTCCAGAGCAAACGCGATATAGCCAGCCGCCAGGTCAGACATGCTGAATCCTTCCTGGTAAGACTGGTGCTACACAGATTACTAAATATGGGTTAGGCAAGATTGTGAGAATTAGCCATTAAGAGGCTAGAACTAATGGGCCAAGCAGTGTTTAAAAGAATACAATTTGTGTGTTGTTATTTTGGGGCATAAGCTAGCCAGGTGGCTGGGAGCTGGGCGGCAGGAATGCAGCCCACAGCTCCTTCAACAGTCTATGAAAAGGCATTGTCAATCAGAGCAATTTTTTCTTAGGAAACTGTATCAAACTGAATATTACATCATAAAAAAGGGAGAAGAATCATAAAAATTTCCTTACAATTAAAATATAATTTTACTCATGGATGAAAAAACAGGAAATAAAAAGGACAAGACATGGATGCTCTTAGGTATGGTGGAAAAGAAAGTTTATTGTAGATTTAAAAAAGAGAATGTAGGTAAAAGCAGGAACAGGGACATCTAGGAACATCCAGAGTAGACTGGGGGGGGGGGGGGGGGGGGGGGGGGGGGGGGGGGGGGGGGGGGGGGGGGGGGGGTTGCGTGCGTGCGTGTGTGCGTGCGTGCATGCGTATGTGTGTGTGTAGCCAGGAGGTCAAAGGTATAAAAAAAGGGGCAGGTAACCAAATTATCTAAATTATACAGGGAAGAGCCTCTGGGGGAAAGGCAGCCCAGCCCCTGGGCTGAAGAGTTCAGGGTAGAGGGTAGAGAATGTAATGGGTAGGGACTGAGGGATGCTAGGAGAACCGGGAAATATGTTAACTAGGCACCTCAGTCATGAACATAACCCTAGCACTTGGGAGTTAAGAGGCAGGATGACAAAATGTTCAAGGCCAGCCAACACTGTCTACCCAGGGGGTCTGAGTCTATGGCTATCTCAAAACAAGCAAACCTAAACAAAGAGCAGAGGTGGAAGGGAGAGAAACGGATGACAGTCTACGTCTAGAAAGAACTTAAGCTTCATATAAGAGGCAGAGTGTGAATAAATGAGGCTAAAATGTTTTAAGTCATGTAAATTATCATACTAAAATTATTATTTATGATAAGATTAACATACTACATACATAAATCACATAGAATCATACATAAATGTTTATTCCCTACTCGGGTTCTCAAGAGTACACAGAACTAAGGTATGGTTTTAGTTCAGGAATGGTAGGATAATAAAGATGGTGGGAACAGAAGGAGCCCACTGATTACCTTTCCTGCTTCAGGGCATATTCCAACATTTTGATCCTCCTCACTAGATCTTTCTTCAAATTTTCTTGACCTTTCCTCTCCCCCTGAAGGAAGGCAATCTGGGCCTGGAAGGGAGAGAAAGGCAAAACTCAGTTCAGAACAGCATTTTAAAAACAACTTTTAGAACAGCAATTAATACAATTCCTTTTCAAATCCATCACAGTGCAAACTAAAGAAGTATTAGCTGAAAGGGGTAAAGTCTTAATTTGAAAACAATATCCACAAGAGACCTATGTGCAGTTTATTTCAGAAAGGGATATTGCAATCTGTGGTCCCCATCTTCCCTAAGGACCTACAAAACAACAAACAGGGTACAAAGCAGACATGCAGTTTGTCCAAGGTATAAAATACCTTGGAAGATGTTTCATTTTTACAAAAAATGAAGGCAGGAAAGAAAAATGACCAGAATTCTTATAAATTCTTCCAAATTAAGAGTTTCATTATTAAGAGGAGAGTTAAACATCCCGGCATATGAGGGAGGAAAGACCCCCTCATGCTCAACCCCTCATTGAGGAGAGGACAGTACCTAGGGGTGGTGAGGAAGACAGTCACTTTGGGGTGGGCAGGCACTGGTAGGTCACCCAGACTTCAGTGGATAACCCCATACACATGGGCCTAGGGGGAGCACTAATGGTGTATTAACTCACACATATGGGCCTATGGGCAGCACGGACCGGACTCTGTAGGTAAGACATGAAGTTGTGAGGAAGACAAGAGATAAGATGGGGAAGAGTAGGGTGCTGGGGAGATGACGGGAGGGAGGGAGTATGAACCAAGACACACTAAGTACACGTATGAAATTTCAAAAGTTTCCTGATATATCTAAATTTTATAAGAGAGTCCTTAACTTGGTCCTAGATTTACTCTACAAACAATAAATAGCTCTCTTTTCTCATCTGTGAGAGAAAAGAGAGAGAATAGAAAAGGGACAATCAGATGCCGAGCCTCAGCACATTGCTCCTCCCTGAAGAGTGACAACAATTCAGCATTTCACCATGAGACAAACGACACACAACTTTCAGCTTCAGCAGGAAAGGGACAGGAAAGAGCAGCAGAAACGGAAAAACACTGGGGACTGAAATAACATCACTGCTTAAAGAACTGCAAGCGCTGGACTACTAGCTTGTCCAAGCAGTTTGTAAGCTCTATAAAGGCAGGAAGGTGCTCATTTAAGGTGCGTCAGATAACCCCCAATTTACTATTTGCACATGCTCTTCTCACCCATTTCCACCACAGCAACTCAGGGACAGACAGCAATGTTATTTGAGTATGTATGAACACTGCTTCCCATTCAAGAAAGAATGTCATACTTAAGGAAGACTTTAAAACACCCCTACAGAATTTCGAGGGTTGTCCAACAATGGTTTAATGAATAAACCAATAAACTTAGTTCTATTTAATTTAAATGAGACTCAATTCTACTTATTTAGTACCATGATAAACATACATAAAATCCAATTTACTACTCCTCATAACCTTGAATTATAAATAGGTACTATGATGTGTTTATTTTCATTTCAAAAAGCTCTTAAAATTTTATTTCAATTAAAAGGACACTCTCCTTATTAAAGTAATTAAGATTGGCAACAATTCAACTGTATATAGAAACAGGCTGTCAAATTTAGATAAAAAGGGGAAAAGGCACTGAATATTCACAATTATGTGTCCACACCTCAAAGATCCTAAAATGCTTTAAATGTATATATATATCTAAGATGACATATATAGAACAATGGCAAATACACTTCAAGCTGAAAAAAATGAAAGCTCATCAGAAGAATATGCCAGCCCAATTCATTTGGCCAAGCAACCAGCTGCTTTGACAGAGCAATGAGTACATTAAAAAAAAAAAGTGTTGTTAGTAAAAACAATAAACCTAATAAATGTAACCAAGCAAAGTAACAATAACATAAATCACCAATTTCATCCTCTATATTCTTTGGCTATTTCTGAACTTCTGACATGTCACTGATGCTGGGTAATTCTACAGTTCAACCTATAACATAAAGTCTGTACTGTGACTGAGTCTCCAACCCACTGGCAACTTGCCTGCCTTCCTACGACACTTACTTTCCTCGTCTATCAATTCACACCAGAGTCTAGTTAATAATCAAACAGGAAAACCTGTTAGTGTTACAGAAACTGGCAATGCATGCAAAGCAAACCTGAGAGTGTCGTGGAGCCATGGTGCTCCTCAAGCTCACAGACATTTATAAGACATAAAGGACGAAGGAGACACTGAAGAAATTCAACATTAGAGTCCTTTCGCGTCAGTCTTCTTGTCTTCAGATGAGTTAACTCGTAAAGTCACAGAAAAACTGTTTCAGGTTGAAGAACTAAAGAGACCAGAAATCAAATGCAATGTATGATTCTGAACTGTAATGGATTGTGCAGAGCTATTCAGACAGACAGTACAGGAAGAAGGGAGCCTGAGGATTAGAAAGTACTAGTATATCAGGGCTAACTTCCTGATATTGATGCTGTGTGTTACACAGGATAGTATTTCTTTGTAGGAAATAAAACACTGAGGTATTCGAACGGAGACAATGAACTATCAGGCTAGCTGGCAACTAGCCCTTATAATTCAGGGAAAAACAAATTCTTTGCAAGGTCCTCTCAACTTTCCTTTCGACTTAAGATTTCTGGCTGACTTTTTAAATCAACTGAGATACAATTACAACTTTCAAAGTAAAAGGTTCCAACTCAACCGAAATGCCAACAATATATACAACAGAAAAACCTAGGAGTACTGAAATCAAGTTAGAAGCAAAACAAAAAATACCCAATTCAACATAATCATTTACCAATGTGCTAGAGGTGCTGACAAAAGTAGTTTACGGAAAAATAAGTAGAAAAGTAGAAAAAAGAAATAATATCATTTTCAAATGATATGGGTATTGGTGATGGGATGATCGATTGGTATTTGTGAGTTATTGTTTTTAGAAAATTATATTGGTGGGGCTGGAGAGATGGCTCAGCGGTTAAGAGCATTGCCTGCTCTTCCAAAGGTCCTGAGTTCAATTCCCGGCAACCACATGGTGGCTCACAACCATCTGTAATGAGATCTGGTGTCCTCTTCTGGCCTTCAGGCATACACACAGACAGAATATTGTATACATAATAAATAAATAAACAAACAAACAAATAAATAAATTTGTGGACAGCTATTTAAAAAAAAAAAAAAGAAAATTATATTGGTATCGATTCTTGTATATTGATACAAAGTTAAATTATATTGAATACTGTATGCAAGTATGCTTCTACCTCGGTTTAAAACATTTTTTTATGTATTGATATATATATATATATATTGTATTGATGTATATTTACCATATTGCAGTGTACATTTCTACCTGATTAAGATACTTATATATTGTTTATGTAACGATATACATTGTTTACATTTGGAGGTCACTGTCCTCATTTATGGCATAGTTTTTATTCTCTTAGTCTTCAAGTTAGATAGGTATCAATAATTATAGATCAATAGTCATCTATGTTTGTCATATTTATATTTAGGCTAATCAGATTCTTTAGATACATAGAGATTATATTTAGTATAGATAGTATAATCTTCAACCTCTTCAAAGAGCTGTAGAAAATGGCCTTTAATCTAACAGAGTTCCGTGGTAGTGAGACACAATCACTCCTGGCAACACGGCTCTACTCCAGAGAGAATGTTGAGCACCACTCCACTTGGAGCATGTCTTCTTGGCAGAACCGGCCTTTGGGCAAAGAAAAGCCCCTACCTCAACCACTGACAGAGATACAGAGCATGCATCAATGGATAAAAACAGGATTGTCATATCCTGCCAAGACAGGGTAAGATAGTTCTGAAAAGTTTCTTGCCTTTGAAAATGGTATGTCAGTTACGTTAGGCCTTAGCCAAAGTTGGTTGCCTCAACATTGCAAATGAGACCTTGGGTGATTGCCCAGGTAGTCAGTTGTCTCTGTCATTTGTTGCACATTTTGGAAGTTTCTTGTTTGTACTTCCTGGTTGCTCAAGTAATATTACTTCCCTTCTCAGATCTTTGATGGAGTTGTTTAGCCATTTGGGCAAAAAACTGCTCTTGCCTAGACTGTTGCATAAACTGGACACAGAGAACCCTCAGAGAAGAGGACTGCAACTTGTGTAAAGGTGAGATGATCCTTTGGGGTTCCTGACTCATGAAAGAGTCTGTGAAGACATTCTGCAGGACACAAAAGAAAGTGACTGAAATGTCTTTGAAATTTTCCCACTTCATGAAAATGTCTGCTGGATACTATGGGCCTGTAGGCTGAAGGTGGATGCCCCAACGGTACAAAAGAACTTTGGGTGACTGTCCAGGCAGTGAGATGTCTCTGTCATTTCTAGAGTTTGGAAGTTGCTTATTTCTTGTTTGCTTACATAATATTAGATCCTTCTGGAGTCTTTGATGGAGTTGAAGGATAGATAGTTATAGTTACAGTTTTCCATTATTATGATAAAAGAAAATAGATATAAATATTGGAACTGTAATTCTTGCTTGATAACTGTTTTGTTATATATAATTTTACTATGTTAAGTTAAAGCCTTCCTTTTTGTTTAAACAGAAAAGGGGGAAATGATGTAGGAGTGTCTTCTATCTATCTGTTGCTTTCATTGGTTAATTAATAAAGAAAACTGCTTGTCCTGATAGGTCAGAACATAGGTAGGCGGGGAAGACAGAACAGAATTCTGGGAGAAAGAAAGCAGAGTCAGGCAGACGCCATGGAGCCAGCCTCCAGGTCAGACATGTTGAATCTTTTCCAGTAAGCCACCACCTCGTGGTGCTACACAGATTACTAAATATGGGTTAAAGCAAGATGTGAGAATTAGCCAATAAGAGGTTGAAACTAATGGGCCAGGCAGTGTTTAAATGAATACAGTTTGTGTGTTGTTGTTTCGGGGCATAAGCTAGCCAGGCGGCCAGGAGTTGAGCAGCAGGAACACAGCCTGCTGTTCCTTCTACATATGGGTGACTACCACAAAACTCCAAGAAAACAAACTTTAAAAACATTTGTGGGTTTTTTGTTGTTTGTTTTGTTTTTAGTTATAAATACTCTC